TTATTATTTTATATATTTATAAAAATATAAATATTTTATTATATAGCACTAAGTGTTCCAGCTGATGCTGGTAATGTTTCATCAATAAAAGATGCTTTTAATACAATTCGAACAAAACTTGGAAATGATATAGAAGTATTACTTTTCAATGCTGGTGGAATGATTTATAGTAAATATAATATTTTATTTATATTAGTTTTTAATATTTTATTTTTTTTCTATTTTAAGAAAGTATTTTGGAATTGAAACCAGAAGAAGTACAAAATATAGTAAATGTTAGTGTTATTGGTGCTTTAGCAGCAAGCCAAGAAGTGAGTGTATATAAGAATAAGTTAGATTTTGACTAAGTTCTTTGTAGGTTATCCCAGGAATGCTTAAAAATGGAAAAGGTACAATATTATTGACTGGTGCTACTGCTAGTCTTCGTGGTTCAGCTAAATTTGGTGGTTTCGCTATATCAAAATTTGGTTTACGTGCATTAGGTCAATCAATGGCACGTGAATTAGGTCCACAAGGTATTCATATTGCTCATGTCATCGTTGATGGACCAATTAATACACCTACACAACTGAAAAGTAGGATATTTTTTTTATTTGAAAAAAAAAGAACGTTTAATGATTACTTACTTTAGAGCAACCTGAGAAAGATGTTGATTCATTTATTCATAGTGATGCAGTATGAACTATTTTTTTTATGTTTTCTTTTTATAAATCTAAATTTGATTTGATTTTTAGATCGCTGAAACATACTGGCATTTACATTCCCAACCTCGTTCAACATGGACACAAGAAGTTGATCTTCGTCCTTATAATGAAAAATTTTAAAAGAAAACTCTCTTTTTTTATTATAATAAAATTGTGTTAGTTTCTATTTGATTCTTATTTAATAAAGACATCTTTATAACCTCAATCTTGTATGATATCTAAACTAAAAATATACTTCATTTCATGTTCTATCTCGTAAAAATAATTGAAACTTGAGGTCAATGTGAACGATAGAATCCTTATCAAGAACTAAAAACAAAAAAATAATGAT